AGAGCAGTTGGGGACAATCAGGCTTGCAAGGGAGGGCAGTTGGGGGTGACCAGGGGTGGGGGGTTGATGTCCCTCAGCCTAGTCTGCACTCTCTTCAATCTGAGACCCCTTGAGGGATGTCCAACCGTCTGTCAATCCAGGACTGCTGCTCCCAACCACTTGCCTGCCTCTGCCTGATTGTCCCTGACCACTTCTGCCTGCCAGCCTGATCACCCCCTAACTGCTCTGCAGCCAGCCTGATTGCCCCTAACTGCCCTCCCCTGCTGGCCTGGTCACCCTTTATTGCCCTCCCCTGAAGGCCTACACCCCTCCCCCATTTATCCCACCCTGAAAGCCTGGTTTTCCACAACTGCCCTCCTCTGCTGGCCCGGTCAACCCTAACTGCCCTCCCTGCTGGCCTGATCACCCACAACTACCCTCCCCTGCAGACCTGGTCTCCCCCAACTGCTCTCCTCTGCCGGCCAGTTCACCCTTAACTTCCCTCCCTGCTTGCCTGATTGCCCACAACTGCCCTCTTCTGAAGGCCTGCCCCCCCCCCCCAACTGCATTCCCCTGCAGACCTGGGACCCCCCAAACTGTCCTCCCCTGCAGGCTTAGTCCTCCCAAACTGCCCTCCCCTGCAGGCCTGCCCCTTCCCCCAACTGCCCTACCCTGCTGGCTTGGTCTTCCTCAACTGCCCTCCCTGCTGGCCTGATTGTCCACAACTGCCCTCCTTTGCATGGAAAACAAATACACACAAAACACTGTACACAAATTTCATGCATCAAGCCTCTAGTTTAAAATATTTGGTCACTGCACCTAAAATCATCTGGCAGGCAATTCTGGAATATCTTGCTACCTGACGATCAATTAGGACTACTGTTTAAATGCACAGGATGACATTCAAGTTTAGAAATGAAAAGTGCCTAATACCACAAACCTCCCTACTGGCCCCTCTTATTGCCAGCCCTCTTTTGAAAAGTAAGGAGTTTGTATTTGTTTTAAAGAGCTGGTTATTATTCCCTCGTTTCTATTTCACCTTAAGATCACCCAGTAAGCAGGAAACTAAAAAACACTTGGTCTTATAACAAATTTAAAAATCTTGGGCATTACATTCCTCTGGTAGAATATTTTTCTTAAAAATTAAAGAAAACCATTGCTTAAATACTGCTCTCACACTTTTAACTTCCAGGGAAATTTTAGGGGAAAACCCACACATACATACACATATTAATGCATAAAAAGAATGTTTCTTTCCCAACTGGGAAGTACACTGTGAAGGCGAGGTGGTGCTGAACTTTTTTTAGCAAGGACACAGCTGACCAAACCACAGAGCATTCACCAACCCCATCATCCAACCAACCCCCTTGCTGTTCCCCTGGCTTGCATCCACTGGACTCATTTCCACCCACCATTTGCAGGATGCCTCTGTACAGCCATATGGACCAAGATGATGAGTCATCTATCATCCAGAATTTTTCGCTTGACCTTTCCACACCCAGCAACCTTCCGCACATTCGACAGGCACATCTCGGGAGAGCATGTGCCCTGCACCCGGAGTTTAAGGCTGAACACAAGAACTCGGCATTCCTGACACTCCTCACTGCCAAATGGATTTATTCCAGAGCTTTACAGAAAAATCACGACTGAAGAAGTGACCAGATGGGGTGTTCAAGGAGAAACATACAAACGAAGTCAGTTAGGAGACTGACGTACTTGATGAAAAACAGACCTAGGATGTAAAAGAACTTCAGTTTTTCACCCTGAGAGGAAGTCATGGCAAAAGCAAAGCACTGAAAAGACATATAAAACACTCCATAGCTGAACTGACTTTTTGACTTCACATAGCTAAACGTTTTTAAATCTACATTTGAACCTAACACTTCATAAAGTCACCATGAAATATCAGGAATAAATAATAACAGCAGAATCTCAAACTTATATAGCACTTATTCTACGCAAACATTCCTCTAAGCACTTGGCATATATTCACTCACTTGATCCTTATAAACCCTTTTCTAATCCACTTGCCATGCAGAATAGGATGCGGAGAAGGCCAGGTATCTTGCCCGAGGTCACACACACTGCCAGTAAGTGAAAGAGCCGAGATTTGGAATGAGCAGCCTGGTATGACCTGGGATTAATTATTATTACACTGACTACCTTCCCAAAAACCTGGAACACAGACGATACCCTTTTAAAACAGATTTTTTTTTTAAGTTTACTAAAAAAGTTTGCTTTATAAGTTGAGAAGCCTTACATTAAAGAATTTTAAACTTGGGAAATTACTGTTAGATGGTGGTGGAGCCAAAGTTTATCAGTCATGGCAAATACCTATCCAAGAAGTATTGGAGGGTTAACTCTTGTGAGTTAAATGCATAGTGTCTGGAGAAGTTAACCTGGCTGAAGAAGTGATGGTAGCCAAGAAACTCAAAAGGCTTGGAAGACAATAAAAGAAAACCCTGGGTTGTGGTATCTAACATCAGTCACAATGCTGTCAATTCTTCCTGCTCAAACTCTTCTCCCAGATGATGTCTCCTTTCCATCACATTGCTATTGTTTAAATGCAGACCTTCAACATCCCTTGGACCAACTATTCTACCAATCTCTTCTTTGGCTTCTAGTCATCACCACCTGCCTCCCTGCCCAAGCACCTTACACCTTCTCTGCTGCTAAGCAAAGAGTCTCTCTGAGACACAAATCTAATGTCATATGTGCGGGAGAGCAGCTGATCAGTGATTCTCATCATTGATGTTTCTATCTCTCCCTTCCCTTCTGAAATCAAAAAATATATAAAAATAAAAATAAGAATGCTCCACAGAACAAATCCTATGGGTGTTGGGAATGAGGCAGGAGATTCTAGGGTCAAGTAAAATTTAAAAGTACCTCATAATGTCTCCTTCCATGAAGCATTAAATCACATGATCATATTAAAAGTTTGGCCCTAGCCAGTTTGGCGTAGTGGATAGAGCGTCGGCCTGCGGACTAAAGAGTTTGATTCTGGCTAAGGGCACATTCCTGTGTTGAGGCCTTGATCCCCAGTGGGGGGTGTGCAGGAGGTAGCTCATCAATGATTCTCTCTCATCATTGATGTTTCTCTCTCTCTTCCTCTCTAAAATCAATAAAAATATATTATTAAAATAAAAAAAAAAGTTTGGCAAGCCTGAAGACGGAAGGGTCCCAGGTTAGATTCCAATCAAGGGCTGGCTCCTCCCCTGCCGGGGGCCCTGGCTGTGGCACATGCAGGAGGCAACCAATCGATGGGTTTCTCTCGCATCAATATTTCTCTCTGTCTTTCCCTTTCTTCCACTTTCTCTAAAAATCAATGGAAAAATATCCTCCAGTGAGGATAAAAAAGAAAATAAGTTTGGCAAAATCCTGAAGTAAAGGAAACTGGTTAACCTTGACATTACTAGCAATTCTGGGCAGGTAATGGAACCTTGCAAGTGTTCAGAATAATTCTCGACACACAGTGTTAGCAATCAATATTTAAACAGAAATATATTTGAACACAAAGTCTAAATATATTTGAACACAAAGTCTGTTTTCTGATCTAGCCATTAAAAGGACTGCATGCTATATATATATTGAGAAACAATGTCATAGAATAAATACTCCCCCATATCAGTCATTTTAGAGGTTTGTGGCTCTAGACTTTAACTGAAAAATACAGGCAACCTAATAGCTTGAATGTGGGACATTTCCTCTGGTTTCTCTGTAGCTGGCAAACAAGGTTTCAACTGTCAGCTTCTCGAGGTTTCAGTTTCACCAAATTAAGACAGAAATGTGTGCACTGTGTGAACTAGACAAAAGCAGCCCTGCAGTGGAAAGAGGTTTGTTTGAGCTAAATTTCACAATCCATTTTTTTGTTCATAGAAAGCAGTATGTTCATCAGCAAACTTAAAGGAGAAGATTCTGAATTCCAGCTTGTTCAAGTATAAAACTGTGCAGTGTTTTGTGTGTGAGCATCTGTATGTATTTTCTTGGGTGAAATATCATACTTGTCATCAAGGGATCCAGAATGCCTAAAAAGGTTAGGAACCACCCAGTTTTCAGATCAGGTCCATGTATTGTTTAAATACATATTAAACATCAAACAGTACCAGGGTGTATGGATACATGGTGAAAAGTAAGTCTCCCAATCCTAATACTTGCCCAGAGTCAACCACTGTTACCAGTTTCTTATACTCCAAAGATAGTTTATGCATGTGTTTCTTTTTTTTTTTTTTAAATATATGTTTTATTGATTTTTTACAGTGAGGAAGAGAGAAATAGAGTTAGAAACATCAATGAGAGCGAATCATCGATAAGCTGCCTCTTGCATACCCCCTACCGGGGATGTGCCCGCAACCAAGGTACATGCCCTTGACCGTAATAGAACCCAGGACCTTTTAGTCTGCAGGCCGACGCTCTATCCATTGAGCCAAACCGGTTTCAGCTATGCATGTGTTTCTAAGTATATACAGTAATATTATGCCATCCTTCTATTTTTGCATAAATGATATGCAATGTACACTATACTACAACTAGCTTTGTACACTTGGCGATTTATGTTGAGATCTATTCATATTATAACATTGGTACATACCAAATATGAGACATTCCTATGATAGATACTTAGATAGTTACCAATGTCTTGCTTTATAAATAATGCTGAAAATAAACATCCTTGAAGCTATATCTTTAGGCAAGAAATCTAGCAAAGAAATACTGAAACAAAAAATATGAAGTCTGTTAAACCGTCCTCCAAAGGTTGTGCATTGTATACTCAACACTTATTTCCCACATACTCAATACAAGATTTTCAGATTCTCTATCTCTGTTAATCTGACAGGTGAAAAATGGTAACTTCTGGTTTAAATTTTTATGGCCTATTATGAATGAAAGAACCTCTGGTTTCAGACATACTTATAACAACTTCATCATGGAAAGAAGAGGCATCATCAAACTGGAACAATAACGGAATTCTATTAGGAACAAGCTATTCCCAGAAATTCAGCTTACCCATGAGTCCCACTCACCATCTAGCAGCCAGTGCTGATCCTGTCGGTTCTCCAGCTCCGACAGCATCATGCGTGTGATCACGTGGTCTGGAACCAAGCGGCCTTTCTCTATGAACTGCTTTGCCACATCACCAACTTCTGTTAAAAAGACCGGAGAAAAGAGATTCTCATAAAAGGCTTCAAAAATAAAAATAAAAACCTTACAAATTCTTTTTGGACAGTTTTGCCTTCTCTCCCATTCCTCCTGGTTCATGTGGGGGCAGGGGGAGGTTTTAGAGTAAAGTTTTAACGGTGATGGAGGCACTGCCTCCCAAAGAATTACAAAAGCAGCTCTTGAAGAAATAAACATAAAAGAATATAAATTAGACATAATGTGAAAACAAGAGTAGGAAACAAAGTTGGAGTCTAGAAAGAGGGTGGTACACAAAAGGCCAGGGAGGAATTCTGGCGACTCCCTGAAGGTGAGCCAGAAACAGGATACTGAGCCTCCCAACAAGTTATGGTAACAAGGAAAAGTGACCAACTACACGACATAGTTAGTATACAGAAGACTGAAGGAAGCTGCGAAGCACAACCATTCCTTAGAGACCAAAGAAAAAACATTTCCACTGTTCTTCCAGAAAGAATGCTGGATAGTATACACAACAGGTCTATATCTTTTCTGGAGCCTCAGTATAAGCAAATAGCGCCTTGCTGACATAATTGTAAAAAAAAGCTAAGTCAGTGTTATCAGTGGAATGCCAAGTTCATAAAAGAATGAAATTTTAAAAATTATTTTCAGGGGAAAAAATGCTTTTAACTTAATTTAAAATAACAATTCCTTACTTGTAGAACTTGTGAGTTGGCTTCAGCAGAATAAATGATCAGTTTAAATTGGTTAAATTTCTAGGCACTGAGTTTTTATTTAACCAAGATGAAGTCATCTGAATCAATAAATGACAAATGTTGGGAGGATGTGGAGAAAAAGAAACCCTGGCACACTGCTGGTGGGAATGCAGATTGGTACAGCCATTGTTTTTCTCCTCAAAAAACTAAAAATGGAACTCCCATTTGACCCAGTAATACCACTTCTAGGAATATATCCCAAGAAGCTAGAAACACCAACCAGAAAGGATATATGCATCCCTTTGTTCATTGCAGCACAATTGATTAAGGTATTACAGACCAAATCTTAGTTTGGTCTGACCATAGCTAAGATTTGGAAACAGCCTAAGTGCCCATCAGCAGATGAGTGGATTAAAAACTGTGGTACATCTACACAATGGAATACTACGCTGCACTAAAAAAGAAGGAATTCCTATCATTTGCAACAACATGGATGGAACTGGAAAGCATTATGCTAAGTGAAATAAGCCAGTCAAAGAAAGATAAAAAATATCACATGATCTCACTCATTTATAGAATATAATGAACTACATAAACTGATGAACAAAAACAGTTCCAGAGACAGAGAAACATCGATCAGACCATCAAACCTCAGAAGGAAGGTAGGGAGGGTGAGGGTAAGGGGGAGAGATCAACCAAAGGACTTGTATGCATGCATATAAGCCAAACCAAAGGACACAGACAACAGCGGGGGCGGGGGGGGGGGGGTGTTGGGGGGATAATGGGGATATAAGGACACTTATGTAACACCTTAATCAATAAAGAAATTTTTAAAAAATTAAGTCATCTGCTCTCTAGGGAACTGTTAGTGAACCATGAGCCAATGAAGTTTATAGAAACATAAAGCAGCATCATATTACTGGGTGAGGGTGGGAGTGGGGGTGGGGGTGGGGAAAATCAAGAATCATTTTCCCCCACCTTCACCTTGAACTTAAGGTAGAGCCTTTCCTTCTCAAGGCTGAGTCTACGCCTAACTCCAACTTACACACTGAAACATGAGCTGTGAAGAGCTCCATATCACTCCACTCCTCCTGGACCAAAGCAGCCCAGTTAAGCCCCAGGAGATGCATATTCAATAACTCCCTGAAGAAGCAGAACACAAAAGACAAGCACATTCTTGAATGTGGCTGAACATGAGTGGGAAAATATTGATTGATTGCATACTATGTAACAGGTAATATTCTAGAGAGGTGACAGTAAAGAAAAGTACTGATATTTAAGCAGTATTAATTTCCTTAAAAGCAATACTAGCGATCATTAACATATACTATGCGCCTTTAAGTATCATATGTGGCATTTCATTTCATCCTCATATAAGGTAACAGCCATTTTTTATGACAGCTTTTTGAGACATAACACACACACAACATTGACCATTTTATAGTGTATAGCTCAATGGTTTTTAATATATTCTTAGTGTTGTACAATCATCACCACTACCTAATTCCAGAACATTTTTATCAACCCATTAGCAGTCACTCCCCATCTCCTCCTCCTCCTGATAGCATGTGGCAACTACTAACCTGCATTCTGTCTTTAAAGATTGGCCTATCCTGCACATCTCATATAAACAGAATCACACAACATGTGGCACTTTGTGTCTGGTTTCTTTCACTTAGCAGAATGATTTCAAGGTTCACTCATGGTGTAGCATGTATCAGTACTTTATTCATCTTTATGGCCAACTACTGTACTCCATTGTACTGATAGAACATATTTTGTTTAGCTATTTGTTCATTGAGGAACATTTGGGTTGTTTGTTTCCACTTCAGGGCTACGATGAATAATGCGGCAGTGAACATTCATGCACAAGTCTTGGTCTGAACATATGCTTTCAGTTCTCTTAAGTAATACTTGTAGGGCAGTGGTTGGCAAACCACAGTTCACAAGCCACATGAAGCTCTTTGGCCCCTTGAGTGTTCTAATGCCACTTCTTCAATATAGACTCGCCCAGGCAGAAGAAAACAGACTTCTGCGCATGGGCCACGAAGTTTCAATCGCACTCTGCGTGAGCACCCACACGAGGCATTTTGTGGAAGAGCCACACTCAAGGGGCCAAAGAGCCACTTGTGGCTCCCGAGCTGCGGTTTGCCGACCACTGCTGTAGGGTATGTATGTTCTGTATCTGAAAAAAAATCACTTTCATAGTAGGCTTGGAATATCTGACAAGTTTGGTGCTGTCCTACGCTGCAATGGTCAAAGCCAACCAGCCCCAGAGCCCTATTCTTGGTCACATCCAACAAACCTTAAGGTAGATATAAACAAGTACACATCTTCCAAGGTGAGAGACCAAGATGTGAAATGGCGCCAGACATCCCAAGAGGAAAGAGTAGATAGCAGGTTCTTTGGAAAAGAGAAGACCCAGAGAAGGAGATGATAACATTTTACCCATGACCCGATACTTGATACATGGGAAGGGCATTGTTTTATTCAAAGCCTAGGATTTAGAATTAGGACTAGTAGTAGGAATTTCAAGTGTTTCAATGAAGTTGCCTAAGAAAATGTCTGAATGGAGACTCAAACACCACCTAGGAAGGAATACTGTGACAACTGGGCTTGGATTGGGCAACATGGTTTTCCAATTATTTTGGGCATCCTTGGCTCTCTCGGACAGAATAGGCATGTCCTCAATTTGATTCCAAAATCAAACTTCCACCACATCTCTCAATCCCCATCACGCAAACCTGCATAGGTCAACAGCCAGAGCAAAATGGATTTAATAATAGATCTACATCTAAATGAAGACCTTGTTTAACAGCAAATAGTAATACAACGACGGTCAGAAGACAGAGGCCCATTCTGGGAAACATGACCTTCACCTCCCAGGTCAGTTTGCTGGGAAGAAAAGCAATATTATTATGTAAACGCTAATGCTAGCACATTTGGATACAACACATGGCTGCTCCAATTTTTCAAGTAAAATTCTAAAGAAAGTCTGCAGACAAGCACACATTGTCTTTTTTGTTCTGATCACCTATAATTTAAGGGAAAACTGGACAGAACTGGACAAGTGTATACAAAGCAGCAAATTCCCCAAGATGACTAGCCAGATCACCAGAAACAGATAACAACTCAATGTCCTTTTATTTTCTAAGTATTTTTATTGATTTCAGAGGAAGGGAGAGAGAGACAGAAACATCATTGATGAAAGAGAATCCCTGAATCACTGATTGGCTCCTCCCATAAGCCCCACACCAGAGATCAAACCCGCAACCTGGGCATGTGCCCTGTCGACGCTCAACCACTGAGCAATGTCCTTTTAATTGTCCATGCCAGAAAACACTGAGAATAAAAGAACCCTGTAAAAACAGCTTGATTTCTTCAGAAAGCTGCCTAGAACCAGGAGAAACCACTGCCACTCCCAGTGTCAGCCCTTCTTCAAAAGGTCATTGAAAATGCCAAAGCACACACACACACACTATCTGAGGAGTGGTCAAAATGAACTATCGCTTTGTGATTCTGCCAGCTATAAGTTCTTTATCCCCTCACTCTTAAGAATATTTTGACACTGAAGTAGTTACTTAAAAAAGATTAATAAAACAAAGAAAAACTTCATTCTCTAAACTATTTATCCTTGAGATCATTTTAAGGAATGTCTTTGGGTTAAAAAAAAAATCTTGGTTTAGAGATTAATACCAAAGACCTTTAGAGGTGAGAATTATGGAAGAAACTCCTAATTTTAGGAGGGGGGGGCGGCACTTAACTCAATGACTCATATCCGATGTCCAGTGTCCACCCTTCAGTTGGCCTTGCTTAAAAGCATGCTTTCTTTTCCTTCATGACAAAAAGATACGGTTTTTAATCATTCCGTGACATTTGCTATTGGTAGGTATGAAGAACATTCTGAGTCATACTTCCTGGGTTCAAATTCTGACACTGCCATGTAAAGGCTTTTTAAGACTGGTCACATTGTGTGTTCTTGCTTCAGTTTCTTTATCTGTAAATAGGTAATACCATCACCTACGATTGTTTTAAAAGTTGTATGTGGCTAATATGTGGTAAAGGACTTGGAATAATACCCTTTTGCAAATTTCATTCAAAAATATGGAGATAGTATTTTGCTCTTATGTGGCAGGTGTTATTCTCAGTAGTTTATATACATGAACCCGTTTAATCCTAATATCTAGGATTAAATTTTTATTTTCCCCATTTCATAAATCAACTGAAGCACAGAGGTTAAATAACTTGCCCAAAGTAATTCAGCTAATAAATGGTGGAACCAGAACACAAACTCAAGCAGGCTGGTACCAGAG